ACAGAACTCTGATTTTTTTTTAAAGATTTTACTTATTTATTCATGAGACACAGAGAAAGAGAGGCAGAGACACAGGCAGAGGGAGAAGCGGGCTCCCTGTGGTATGCCCAGTGTGGGACTAGATCCCAGAACCCCAGGATCATGACCTGAGCTGAAGGCAGATGCTCAACCACTGAGCCACCCAGGTGTCCCAGAACTCTGATTTTACTCAAATGCACATTGTGCCCCCATAAGACTCAGGGTCATGTTCTGACTGATCTACACTGGCCATGACACGCCCACACTTGTCATCTAAGGAAATCACACAGATCCCACCAATGAGATTCAGGAGGAAGCCCACCTAGGGGTGATTTCCACTGACCTCAAGAAATGACAGAGGAAGATTCCTTCTCCACCCCTCCCTCCCTCTTGTCTCTGTGCAACTGGCTCTGTGCAGGTGGGAACGCCAGAGAGGGAAATGGAAAGAAGAAGGGAATTATCATGAGGATCTCACTGAACTGCTGAATAAAGCAAACCAGACCAGTGCACTCCATTCTTATCCTGGGAGAGAAACTCCTGACAGTGTGAGCCCCTTGGAGCCTAAATTAAGCCAAGGCTTAAGCAATTTAACCAATTTGTTACCCTCCATGAGGGCCTGCAGGTGCTTGCAGCCAAAGCATCCTGAACATTTGATATACTTCTTCACCTTGGCCTCCTGGAGCCAGGGAGGCCAGACTCCGCCCTCAGGCAGTCTCCTGGGGGCCCATGCAGGCATCTCCAAACAGCTCCACTTTGCTGCTGGTTTTGCCACCGTGGCCCTCTTGCATCTGGCCTGGGCTTCTGGAAACTAAAAATTCTTTCAGTGAACCAGACGCCAAGCCCCTTAAGAAGAGACTTCTCATTTCTGTATCTCCACACTGCCCGGAATATACCAAGTACGGGAAGTTTTCTGGGATGAATCAATTAATCCCCTCCTGGATCAGAGCAGATGGTACTCGGAAGAGTGTCTGTGGTGACAACTGGGTCTCCCTGTGCCTGTACCAGCCCCTCCAAACCACCCCCTACATACGGGGCCCCCAGTAGGGTGGAGCCTGGGGCAGCGAGTGCAAGTCCTCCATGAGGGGCAGGGGTGGGCAAAGCTCCACTGGTGTGGAGGGTCCCTCCTTCCCCCCCCTCCAAGAGGTCTGTGTCCTTCACCCACCCTGTGTTTCATTCTGGTCTCAGGACTCACTGTAGGTACTAGCCAACAGTTTGAGCAGCCTCATCAGAGCTTCCTAAAAACTTAAAATGCCATCAGGATCACCTTCACTACACTTCAAATCACTAGCCTGAGGATCGCTAATGTGTGTGGTTTTTTAAAAGATTTTTACTTGTTTATTTGAGAGAGAGAGAGAGAGAGAGAGAGAGAGAGCACATGAGCAGGAGGGGCAGAAGGAGAGAGAATGTCAAGCAGACTCCCTACTAAGCCCAGAGCCCGACATGGGGCTCAATCCCAGGACCCTGAGATCATGACCTGAGCCAAAACCAAGAGCCAGACACTTAACCGATTGAGCCACCCAGATGTCCCTGTCACTAACATGTTTTATGTCTTTCACTTTACAAATGAGAGAAACTGAGGCCCAGAGAGCTGAACTAGCCAGCGGGTGGCAGCTACTGGTGGCAGAACAGGAATCAGCCTTCTAGGCACCAAACTCACAGGCATTTGGTTGTGTTCACTCTTCTACTCTTAGGGAACCATGACTATGGGGGAGTCTCACATGCGTTCACGTTAGGAATGGTCTCTTTGCCTGATGAGAAGGGAGGGGGCCACAGGTGATGTCGGGGAAGGCACTGGTCTCAGCTGCCCCCCAGAAGCCCACCTGGAGCAGGGCCGGGAGAGGGCGCACCTGAGCAGCACTGCCCCCAGCCTCCCAGGAACACAGGGATGTCACGCTTGGCACCTGCACTAGTTCCTCACTCAAAAATCCCACCCTCGGCCATTTGAGAAGAGGAAAGAAAGGAAAGGACAAGGCAGACTGAGACGACTGTGGAGAAAACGGATGGGATTCCGGGAATTAAAAAGACTTTGCTTTTCCAGGGAAATCTGAAAAGACATAGCCTATATGAAAAGTGACTGGTCCCACAGGGGAGGAGCAGGGAGATGAATGGTTTGGGAAATTTTAAAATAATCGCCTTTCCTTGCAACAATCCTATAACCATATCACAGCGACAGTGCCAGCTGGACATGGGGTGGGTCACTGCACAGCACAGGTAAGTCCCGAGCCTCCCCGCTGCATGCAGTGGCTCAGATGTAACAGCAATGACACCCCCATTAAAAATAGATGATTGCTTGGTTGCCTGGCTGGCTCAGTCAGTGGACCACGTGACTGTTGATCTCAGGGTCTTGAGTTCAAGCCCCACCTTCGATAAGGAGCCTACTTAAAATAAAAATATATAATTGCTAGGGCTGCCTGGGTGGTTCAGGGGTTGAGCATCTGCCCAGGCTCAGGCTGTGATCCCTGGGTCCTGGGATCGAGTCCCACATCGGGCTCCCTGCAGGGAACCTGCTTCTCTCTCTGCCTGTGTCTCTGCCTTTCTCTTTGTGTATCTCATGAATAAGCAAATAAAATCTAGAATGTATTTTTATACATATATATTTTAATATATAAATATATATATTTGCCAAAAAAAAAAAATGCTGCAAGGCTGAAAGAGCGATTCTAGAATGGGGGCAGGGAGGGGACACAAGGGATGGAGAGAAGAGAACCATTCAGAGAAAACAAGGAACAGCCTGAGAAATCTGACAGAGGTCTCAAAAATAAAACTCCCTGGGATTCCTGGGTGGCTCAGCGGTTTAGCGCCTGCCTTTGGCCCAGGGTGTGATCCTGGAGACCCAGAATCGAGTCCCATGTCGGGCTCCCTGCATGGAGCCTGCTTCTCCCTCTGCCTGTGTCTTGGCTTTTCTCTGTCTCTCATGAATAAATAAATAAAATCTTTAGAAAATAAATAAATAAAACTCCCTCAAAGCAAGAGCTGAGGAAATAAGAGAATGTTTTCAAGCTCCAAGCAGACACAGTGCTCACTCAGGAGGGCCACGGGGCTACGGAGAAGGCACCTGGGGGTGAGGGAACTCTGACCCCCAGCTTCTGGAGTCCCCAGCGCACACACTGTGCAAGGTGCATCCCCAGAACCAAGTCTCAGGGCTCGGGTGAGGTCACACCACAGTGCAGCTGTGGGCCTCCCACTGGCTCCTATCCCTCCCTTGGCAGGTGGATACCCTAATTTCTCTCCAGGCAATGTTAATGCACTTTTCCGGGTATGAGGGTTAAAGATTCTTTTTTTTTTTTTTTGAAGATTTTATTTACTCACGAGAGACACAGAAAGAGAGGCAGAAACATAGGTAGAGGGAGAAGCAGACTTCTTGCAGGGAGCCCGATATGGGACTCGATCCCAGGACCCCTGGTTCACGCCCTGAGCTGAAGGCAGACGTTCAACCACTGAGGCACCCAAGCATCCCGGGATTAAAGGTATTAACCACACAAACTCACTTTGTATGTGCCTGGGTAAGGATCTGCTGTTGGCATGGCCACTCAGAAGCTGTCAGACTGCTGAGGACAAAGGGCCCCACAAACTTGGGGAGGGAGGGGAACATGCTGTAAGGGAGGGGCCTGTGTGCACTCACCCGGATGCACCAAGCAGCTGCTCCCCGCGATATGGTTCTAACTCAAAAACCTGCCAAACCCACGATGTCCATCAATGGTGTAACCAGTCCACGGTGGACCGTCACACAATAGAACATTAAACACCTCGAGTAACTGAACCTGTGCTACATTCATGTCTCAGGAACAAAGTAATAAGATTTCAGAAGTTGTCAAGTGAGGACAGCATGCAATCATTTTTATAAAGTGAATATGACTTCTGGATCATAAGGTTTTATTTCTAAAAACAAATCTGAAGCAAACATGGAAAAAATACTAGGACTAGTTGGTTGGGGACGTGGAGAGACCCAGGCAGGGGTAGCCCCTCTCTGTTCCTTCCAGGATGTCAGAATCACCTTGGTGTCCTCCTCCTCCTGCCCCACACTGTGTTGGGGTCCAAGGTTGCTGCCAGCTATGGGGACAGCTTCCCCAGGCTGGCCTCCTCAAGTGGCTATGTCCCCTGCAACAGCTCCCACCCTGTGACCTGCTCACATGGATGCAGGCCCTCTGCCTTCTGTTTGCACCCCTAAATGTAGCTTGTACCCCCAGCACCCTGGTCAGGCCTCTGACGAAGACCTATCCACACTCAAAAAATTGGAACTTACTGTAGCTCATCTTTGGGACATGCCCCCTGCCCCCCAAACTATTTTCAATTGCCAAATTGAACAAGTTAAACCCAGGTATTCCTCCCCTTTAGACCACCAGGGACCAGCCCTTATGGCCTTTTTTTTTTGTTTTCCGGACCAATATCTATTAAAGTGGGCAATTTGCAAAGCACTGTGCAACACATCACATACATTATCTCGTTTCTCACAGGAGCTTTATTAGGTCGATATTGCATCCACATCTTAACGAATACAAGTGTCAGTAAAATAAGCTCCTTGCCCATGATCTCACATGTAGGGTGAAGCCAAACCATAATACGCTGGTAATCTGTATCACACATCAGGGGTAAAACCTATATCCACGTATGAGAGAAGCATCACTGAGATTCTGTGGCCTGGGACAATATGGACAGGAAAGGGAAAAGCCAACCAGTCCATGCCCCCATCACAGCACCCAGAGATGGACACAGAATAGATGACCAGGGGGTTCCAAACCCTGCCCCCACCCAGCCCCGGTGCGCTGGTTTCTTAAGGCACGATACTGCTTGTCCCGGCTCCACACGGCCCAGCTCAGGAAGCTTCTACTTGGAGAAATGACTGCGGAAACATGAGTGGTTAACCTTTCTCCTCTATAATAGGGCCAATCTCCCGTCTGTGCTCACAGCACAGGTCCTCCCAGGAGCGGCCATGAGATGCAGAGAGCAGAGTCCACACCTACAAACACACCAAACTCCAAGAATTCCAAGAGGATTCATCTATTTATTGATATTAATATTAAGCCACTTCTCAGCAGTATCTGCTGTGACATGAACAGGACTTGGTTTCTAAAGGTAATAAAATAACGATGACATCATAGACAAAGCGTTGGGGATGTTCCACGCAGGGCAAACTGGCTTTCTTCTCCTACCAGAGCAGGCAGGTGCTAGGTGCCATCCCAAGCACGAACTCCTGGTCCCCTCCTTCACCTTGGCCCTCGGAGCATCCCGGGCTGTGGCACGAGGCCAGATAGCTTCTCACACCCTCCCCACGTGGCACAGCTGTCCTCGGTTCCTAAGGATAGATCACCGGTGCTTCCAGTCGGTGAGCGGTGGTCAGGTGACAAAACCACTAGCACCAAAAAGCTGGTTCTTCCTCTTCGTCAAGTAAACACGATACTTTTTTTTTTTTTTTTTTTTAAGGAAAGGAAAGTCTTAAAAACATATGGCACTAGAGTGTGAAACGACACGAGGGCACCCATTACAACTTCCCACGGCTGCCAGCCCAGTGCCTGGCCTCATGTCAGATGTAGAGCTGATGGGAGGCCAAGGTATCCATGAACGGACGCACCAAGTTGTCCGTGGAGAAGTAAAAGATGAGCCCAAATGTGATGGAAATGGGGAGGGCAGGCAACGCCTTCTTGAACACAGCAAGCAGCAGGAGGGTCAGACACAAACCCTGCAGAACACAGAGGGGAGGTGGTGACCACCAGTTTGGATGGGGGGCAGCCAGTGAGGTCTCCCCCGGGCGCAGGTGGGTCAGACAACAGTGCTGGACATGCCACCTTCCCAGGTCCCCTCAAAGTTCTGTGACGTGCCCGAGGGGGAGCTCTCACTCTTGTTTAACACTCTGCATGCTAATGCGTGAGCCCCCTGACCCTCAGACCACCTCCCCCGCCTGGCTACGGCAGCAGCACATGTGACCAGTGGCAGGCGGTCTCCCCTTAAGGGACACGTATTTATAAAGAACTAGATGAGCCCTGCAGAAGTATCAGTGAGGGTCTCAGCAGCTGGCACGGAGGGAACCAAAGATGCTGTGGGACCCATCCCCTGGGAAGTGGCTGCTGTCCTGTCCCACCAGGCTGGTGTAGACAGGTCCAGGGAAGGGACGGTGAACCAGAGCACCCGCCCTGTCCTTGGGTTGGGTAGGGCCTCAGGTCAGACAGTACGGAGGTGGAAGAGTTGGGGGGCCCACCACCCCATCCCCCACCCATGCTGTGAGCAGGGAGGCAATCTCTCAGGAACACAGCCTCAGCCTTCCTGTGCCAGGGCATGGAGTATATGCCACTCGGAGCCTCCCCACCCTCTTAGGACACTTCCTTCCTCCACTACGGGTACCTGACCTCGTTGAGTCACTGCCTGGGTATAAAGTGATGGGACCCCTCCCTACCTCACAACACACAAGCCTGGCCAAGCCACTGGCACCGCTGTGTGCATGGTCAGTAATGCCAGAGCCCCTCAGCCACACCTGCCCTGTCCAGACCCTCCCAAAAGCCTGGTCTCATCTCAAGGGTCTCCTGGCAGCTCTGCCCAGCCCCCATCACTCTGCCCCTCCAGGAGGCAGCAGCATCTGAAAGTTCCCCAGGGATCCACGTACCCCCAACCCAGGAGCCGGGGCAGGTGCACCCCCAGCCCACTCACAATGAGGATGGCCACGAAGCACGCCAGCGTGGTGTTCCAGTCCCCGCTGCCTGTGGCCGCTGCCTTGCCCACCAGCACGCTGTAGAAGATGAAGTCCCCTAGGCCGAGCTTCACGCCCCCTGTGCAGGGAAGACGGTGAGCCCATTGGTGTCGGGAGCCCCAAGAGGAAGTGGCAAAGAAGGCAGACACCAGTCCACAGCCCGGCCGCTCTGCCTGGCCCACGGGATCCTGAGGGCCAGAGTCCTGTGGCCCATGGGGTGGGGCAGTGTCACCGCCAGCCCACCTCACCTGGCCTCTGGGACAAGGACTGGCTGCCAGTGGGTAAAGGGGGCCATTGGGCTGGGCAACCTGCCACCTGGGCTGTGAAAAGCTGGCATTTCTGACAATTCAGGTAAAACTGGTGCTTGACACTTAGTTGAGTAAGAAAAAAAAAAAACAAAAATATATCATCAGGGGTTGGTGGGAGGCGGTACGATTCAGTTCTAAGTTTAAGTTATGAGTATTTTGTAGGAAATTTAATTTCAAGAACACACATGATGCTCAGAGCTCCTCTGGCAACCCTTCCTCTTAAAAATAGGGCAGCTGGGGCAGCCCCAGTCACAGGGTGTGATCCTGGAGACCTGAGATCGAGTTCCATGTCGGGCTCCCTGTGGGGAGCCTAGTCTCCCCCCTCCCTGCTGTATCTCTGCCTCTCTCTCCATGTCTCTCATGAATAAATAAATAAAATATTTTTTAAAAATAGGGCAGCTTAACAGGTAATTAGCTTATCTCTTGCTGGTGGTAAACGAGAACTCACAGGATGCTCGTTTCCCTTAGGCAGGCTGCCGTTGTGCTCGTTTACAGGAGACTGCTCACCGTGAAAGGAAGAAAGCTTATCGAACAAGGATGTGCCTCGTAGGCCCCTCTCCTGCCTCCTCCTGCTCACGGGGCTCCTTGGCTGGGGCAGGACCCCCTCTGGCTGGCTCCTGCCCCCAGATCACTGGCATGCCTCTGGTCCACCGCCTCCCTCGGCCTGACTTCTGTGGCCTCAGCCCTGTACCTGTCTGCACCCCGTTCCTCACTGTGGTCTGTAGGTCTCGCTCTTGCTCACACCCACCCCCTGCTTTCCTGCTCTCCCCTCTTCCTTCTTTCTTTTTTCCATCACTTCTCTCCCCAAAGAGCTCCATGCTCCCGTCCTGTGCACCTGAAAGGTCCAGAAACTGGGGGAACCCACCAGCCTGTGCACAGAGGGGAGGCCAGTACTCAGCCTGTAGACACACATGGCCTCAGGCTGCTCCCTGCCCAGCTCCCATCTTCCTCTGATCCTCCCCTGGCACCGTCCCCTCATCCTCACTGTGCAAGACCCGGGTGCGGCCCCTCTGTCTCCATTCCAACCCTGAACCCTCCCCAGGATCCCCCTGCAAGCCCAGGTTTCAACATATATATGATGCCAACTCTGACTCCAACCCTGGCCTTGACCCTCTGTGTGGCTGCTGCATGTCCCCCTGGAGGTCCTGAGGTGCTTCCAGCCACCCACTCCACGTTCCCCTGGGTCGCCCCCACGTCTCCCCGGCCCCTCCCACAGTACCTCCTCCCAGCCCTGCCTGCACCAGGGGCCTAGCTTCCCCGCAGGGTCAGCTCCTTCTGCAGCCAGGGGTCCACCTGGAACGTGGCTCTGCTCATTTCACGTCCCTGCCGACACACCACAAAAGCCTCCCTGCTGCCTCTGGGGCAGAATTGGAGCCACTCCCTGGGTGCAGCACACCCCCCACTGGTAGGCCCTCTTGAGCGGCTCTCTGAGCTCTCTGGGACTCCCCTCTCCCTCCTCAAGCCTCTGCCAGGGCTGCTGGGTCATGAAGAGTTTTTCTGGCCCTGGTTCCTGGGAGGGAGACAACATCGCTGGAATTTCCCAAGTACCAGGAGTGTCTGTTATTCAGGATCCTAAACACTTGAGTTCATGCAAGTAGGAGGGGCTGGAGGGGTTGCCAGACCAGAGAGACCACGTGTGTGAGAAGGGGGCCAGGACTGGGCCAAGCCTGGAGACAAAGCTAGGCCCCGAGCGAGGATTCAATCACGCCTACATGACACAACCCCAGCAAGACTCTGAAGCCTGACAAACACATCTATGTGCCAGGTGTGTGGGCATAACCTGTCCCGATGCCACCTTGAGAGAGACGACACAGGCTGTGCATTCAAGGCCCTCCCTCACCTGCCCCTGGGTCTCTTCATACAGCTAGCCCTCTGTTGTCTCCTTTATAATAAAGCCGTAAATACAGCACTTCCCTGAGCCCTGTGGGTCGTCCTAGTGAATTACTGACACTGGAAAAGTGTGGGACCCCCAGATTTGTAGCCAGTGGCCTGAAGACTCCCCAAACCTGTGACTCGGGTGGCCGTGGACTGTGCCCTGTAACTAGTGGGGCCTGTGCTGAGCCCAGTGGTTGGTGCCAGCGTCTGTCTGCGGGGTGACCGCCAGCTCATCCTCCATGGCCCACACCAGGCCTGTCTTCTTCCCTGCACCTGCCCTGACTCCCCTGTACCTAAGCCCTCCCCAGGGCACCCACCGCAAAGCAGAGGTTAACACCTTGTATCCCTCGGTCCCGTAGGCCACCCGGCACACAGTAGTGGGCCCCACACGTGTCCCAGTGTCCTTGGGAACATGCCCTCAGGTGTGTCTTCAAGATTGTCTTCTACACGGGTCCCTCCAGCTCGGTCTGTCCCTGGGGGTTGCCACCCAATTCTGTCCTGTGCTCCAGAGCCCATGGCTAGTTGAGCGTGGGGACAGTGCTGTTAGTGCCCTGCCCAGCCTGTCCCCAGGCCCAGACACACCTTGTGCCCTAAGGACTACACTGGGCCTCCTTCAGGCCATGCCAGTGCACATTGGGACAGAATTCTCCACCAGCTGCAACTCTGCCCTCTCTGGATCACATCCCTCCTCCCACAAAATTACCCCCCCCACACACACAGTGGCCCCTACTGTGCATAGACCAGAACCCTCACTTTGATCTCTGGGAGGCCCTCTGAGCCCCCACAAGCCGGCCAGTCCCATGTCTGCACCCCTGATCTGGGTGTCCTGCCTGTGCTTCCTCTAACTCACTATGGACTGCCTACCCCATGGCCTCGACACCACTACCCGCACCTCCACCCCTGCCATCCCTGACCCAGAGTTCAACCCTGGAGCTCAGCTCCAAAGTCCCCACCTCAGGTAACTCCCTGAGCCCCTGAGACCAGGTCAAGGAGCTGGGTCACTGTGAGGGCAATCAGGGTCCACAGCCGTTAGACCCAAGCCAGGCCTACATTACTCCCTGCTCCCGACACAGACACACAGTCCACACTCACATCTGCGAAATATAGGGCTTAGCCAGATCATGAGTCCCCATGGCCTGCCACCAAGACTCCACCTCTGCCGGCTTCTCCTGGACTCTTGTGCCCATCTCTCTCTGATGTGAAGAGAGGCTTCTTTGCATGTACGCTCCCCTGGTCTCAGGGAGCCCCAGCTCCACCCTCACCCCCACCCTGGGCCCATGCAGACCCATCTGGGCACGACCACCTTACTTTCCTCCTCTTCCTCCAGTTCGTCCCCTGGGTAACCAGGCAGGGGGGGCTCAAAGACTTCCGGGTACGAGGGCTCCCCAAAACTGTCATACGAGTCTTCTTCTGGGTGTCCATGAGAACGCAACCATCATGGTGTGAGGTGGGGGCAAGGGAGAGAGACAAAAGCTCAGTCAGGGGGATCTCTGATCTCTGAGGAATGAGGCTGAGCCCCGGGCTCCCTGGCCCCCCACCCTCCAGCCAGCCCAGCCCTGACGCAGACAGACAGGTTCTCCCCACTCCATGGAACAAGGGAAGGGAAGCAGAGCTGGAAGTCTCCCTGCTGCCACGTGCCTGGCACAGGCCCACCAGGAGGGTGGGTTTCCCTTCCGCCCCCTCTGACCCCGCACCTCCCAGGGAGGTCAGGCCAGGCCAAGCGGGTGGGAGGCGGCCCTTGAGGACGACAGGCCGCCAGCCTCTGGACACTCACCCATCTCTGGGTCGTAGGGCAGCTGCAGGGCTCCCTGGGAGGAGGGGTCCAGCTTGGCCATGCCCACCGTCCACACCATGGCGGCTGCGGGGACAAAAGGTGGTGCCAAAGGTGGTGCCTCAGGAGCTGCTAAGGGCAGCTGCCCCTGGGGCCCGCGCAGGACCCGCCCTTCCTTAGGGGGCCCCGGGGAGGGGTCCGGACTGGCCAGATGTGAGCACATCATGCCTTTCCTGGGCTTTCTTTGCCTCCACATGAAGACACTCCTCATGAAGACAATGAACAGTCTGGTGAATGAATTTTGTCTTATTGTGGTTTAAAAAAAACATGCAACCTGAAAGGTACCATCTTAACCACACACGTGAAGTATGTTCACGTCACTGAATCAGACCTCAGAACTGCTCTCCTTCCAGCCCTGAGACTGCACCCTCTGGACACCTCCTCTCCTCCCCCCGCCCCCCACCATTCTAGCTCTATGAACGTGACTTCTCCAGACACCCCAGAAAGGTGGATCACACGCGTCCTTTCATGACTAGCTTCATCCACTCAGCCTGGTGGCCTCCAGCTTATCCACAGGGCATGTGGCACAACTCTTCCCTTTTTAGGGCTGAATGATAGTCCACGGCACATGTTCACCAACTTTCCAGCTCCCTTGGGTTCCATCCAGGGTAGGTTCGCTAGGCAGGGGTTTCCCCTGGGTTCTGTCTCCCTGGCCCAGAAACTCTTGCCTGAACTCTCAGCCCACAGTGTCTCCAAGTCTCTATCTGGCCACCCCGTGAACACTAGAACATTCCCCATGGTGGTCCTGCCGGCCCCCGACGTCCTGGCTTCTTCCTTGTAGCTCGCACCCTTACCTTCGCAAATCCTGCCAATTCTACCTCCAAAACATCTTCAGAACGATCTGCGTCTCACAGCCTCCACCGCTGCCCTGGGGCCTGAGCACCCCCAACCTCCTGGGGTGCTAGTTACCCCCCTAACCCAGGACCTCTTCCACTCTTGCCACCATGTCTTTTCTGCCCCCTTAGCAACCTACGTGATCTTGTTAAAATGTTAACATCAGCTCAGTCCAAAACCTTCCAGGAGTGTGAAGCTCACCCAGGAAAAAAGTCGAGCTCTCGCCATGGCCTGCAAGGCCCAGTGTCCCTGGACCTGCTCCCCACCCCGGGATCTGCCCCCACCATTGGATCTGCCCGGGAATCTCCCCTCCCCACCCCGATTTGCCTTCTCCTCTCCTCTGCCCCCTGCCAGATTCAGCTCCCCTGGGGCCTCTGCTGGAACTCTGTCCCCTGGGCTTCCTGAGGCAGGTCTCCAGTCAAATGCCTCCTATGACAGAGATTTCCTTGACCACCTGCCACACAACAGCACCCCCCACTACCCTAAAGTCCTCGGGCCCCTACCACTTCACTTTTGACCAAGCACATCTCCCCTCCAACAATGTGCACTCCCCCGGAGCAGAGATGGTGAATGCAGGATTGAGCCCTGTCTCACAGGGTCTCTGCTCCTCCTCAGAGCGTGCCTCCAACTTGCTTTCACGCCACGGGCCACTTGCTGACATGTCCACTCCAGACTCCGTCCTGCCTCTGTAGACATTACCCAGCACTCTGCATCCAGACTGTCCACCCTGCAGACGCCTGAGCCACAGCATTCAGGCTCATGACGTAAATATGCCCGTCAACAGATGGGAGGCCATCAGGACCCCAGGGCTGTGAGCCCTGTCAGGCCAGGGGCCACGTGGGTCTTGTTTCCTGCTGCACCCCCAAAGCCCAGCACTGTGCTTGCCACAAAGTGGGGATCTGACACACATCTGTTGAATAAGCATATAAATCCAAATCCCTACACACTGGCCCCGTAGCCAGCAGCAAACCCGTGTGACTTCCCTTCAGAGACTTAATTTCACCCAGCCACAGAGCTGTCGAGGAAGCACAGTGAAAAGCAGGTGCACCCAGGGCACCTGGGTGGCTCAGCGGTTGAGCATCTGCCTTCGGCCCAGGTCATGATCCTGGGGTCCCAGGATCGAGTCCCACGTCGGGTCTCCCACGGGGAGCCTGCTTCTCCCTCTAACTATGTCTCTGCCTCTCTGTGAGTCTGTCATGAATAAATAAAATCTTTTTTTAAAAAAGATTTTATTTATTTATTTGTAGGCACAGGATATAGGCAGAGGGAGAAGCAGACTCCTTGTGGGGAACCCGACACGGGACTTGATCCCGGGACTCCAGGATCATGACCTGGGCCAAAGACAGACCTTCAACCGCTGAGCCACCAAGGTGTCCCTGAATAAATAAATTCTTAAAAAAAAAAAAAAAAAGAAAAGCAGGGCAGAACCCTGCCCTCGACAGCCCCTCTCCAAATCACCCTCTCAGGAATGTGGAGAGCTAAGTGGGTGGCCGTGGGCAGTACTCCCCACACGCCACTGGAAGTTGGATGGGATGGAACTGTGGGGCAGACCACGTCCTCTGCAGCCCCGGCCAGCCTCAATTCTCTAAGCACCTTCTAATGAGATGGAGATGCAGCCTCTCTTTGTCCCTGGAAGATGGGGCACCCCGGGATCACCAAGGCCACCTCCTCCCCTTTAATCTAGGAAAGACAACTAGTCCCTAGTGAACTCCGAAAGCTGCAGCAGGGAAGCAGCCCCTGGTTCCCAGCTCAAAAGCAGAAACAGAGGTCACTCACAGGAGTATATCAGGGCAGGAAATATGGGCTCGTTTCTCTCCTGGGCGGTCTCCACCAGCATCCTCAGAGGCCCTTTGGGGCACAGCACAGCCACTAGATCTGCAAGAGCCAAGATGTCACGGCATGTGGTAAGTGACATTTATTCCCAAGCAGCCCACAGAGAGAGGAGCCAGCCTGCTAACACCTAGGGAAACAGAGCCCCGAGCCTCAGAGTGAGGCTCAGAGTGTGTCCCACATGCCAGCTCCCAACCCCAGCTCCCAGCTGGTTTACAGTCATACCCTTAAGAGTTTGTGTTGATGGAAGCCCAGAATGGGGTCTAAACGGGGTGGACTGCAAACAGGGAATTGCTATGTGACTCAGGGACCCCATGCTGGGCTTGATGTCCAGAGCCTCCCTTTCCTTATCCTTTTAAAATGGAAGTTATCACTTCCAAGAGACACAAAAGACAAAACCATGCTAATACTCAAGTTTTGGGTGCTCATTATTTATAGGTCCTGTGCCCGGCCCTACAGCTGTTCCGAGGAGTGAATGCTTACAGCGTGCCTAGGGCTTACCAGACGTGCTATCAGCAGTAACCACATCCATGGCCCCAAGTCCAACAGCCCCCGTGCCTCACGAAGGATTAGTCAGGGAGGAAGGGGGTACCTTTCAGCACCCACCCCTTGTATCCACCAGTGAGGACTCGTCATCCTGGACGCTGCCCCCGCCACCCACCGCCAGGGTCTGGGCCCACCCACACCCGCCTACCGTACACAGAGATGGCGCCCAGAATGACCCAGGCAGACCATTCGGGGAGGTACTTGATGAACACCAAGGCCATGAGGGCACTGATCATGATGAGGTAGGCTTGCTGCAACACCAAGGGGCCTTTCCAATGGATGCACACCATGCCCACTGCCCCAAAGTTCCAGACGGTCAGGAACAGGGTAGGGTAGTCCATGGCCACGTTGTAGGTCTTAAGCACTTCCCTGCATGACCAAAGCCAGACCCATGAGGTAAGAAACTCAGCAGAGACGTCAGACCCCAATCACACACAGTGCAACATCCCGTTTCCTGACCATTAAGTCCCCAGCTGGGTTTTCCTGACCTCTGGCTTCATTACAGACACACACACACCCACTGCCCGGTTCTGTGAGTCCCACATCTAATCACGTCAAGTATTTTCTGGAATAAGGGGGTGAATGTACCAACGTCTCATGCTTGGCTCAACTCACACAGAGGTGTGCTGGTACCACCTGAAAGACCCTTTGCCCCTGGGAAAAGGCCTCCTGTCTCTTCCGTCTCTCAGGGGTCCAGGGTCAGGCTGCTAACCCACATCAAAGGCAAGAGAGCAGATCACTTTTCCATAAATGAGTAAGTTCCCAAGCCTGGCCCATAGACTGGAGTCTCTTGGTTTCATAGAGATCCTCCTCCATAGTGATTGGGCTCATTTGTTTTAAATCAGGACCAGAAAGGGATATGGCCTGCCTCACACACCCTTGCCTCCCATCAAGGCCCTGGGAGGAGGTCTGGCTCTTGGAGGCCGGTGGTGGTGGGGTGCCCCTCCCCACCCAGATCCTGTGTATCTGACGGGACCTCAGGGCTACCTACCCGAGGTAGATATAGGTGAAAAGGAACAGGAGCATCAAGGATGACATGATCAACCAGCCATGGATAAACTAGACAACAGAAATGGGTACAGTGAGCATGGGTACCCAGCTTGTGGGACTACCGCCCAAGCTTCAAGAATCTTCATTAGGCTCCTTTGTGATGACGCTGGAAGGAGTGGCCACTGGACAGATATAGAGTGCAAAGAAGTTCCTACAGTTCTCTCAAGGTCACCTGGCAAGTGCACGGAGTGAAAATCCTTCAGGTCCAAGCGGCCAGACCCCCGTCCCCCCTGTCTTCCCCCCCACCCCCACCCCAAGAGAGGATGTGTTGGATGACTCCCACCCACCAGGCACAGCCCTAGGCTCCAGGGAAGAAGCTAGTGGAGTCCCACTTGCCGTGTGTCAGCGTGAGGGCCTCAGCTGGGGAACACATAGCCCTCGTGACTGCCTGTGAATATGTCTAAGAGCAAAAAAGCGTCAGGACAAAGTGGCAGGAGACCTGCTGGGGTGCTGTCTTGGAGTGGCCAGGGCAGCCTTTAAGGGAGCTTTCTCTGGTCACCCCAGGAGGAGCCCTCCCACCTGAGGCCCTCAGAGAGACCCATGCCTCCTGTCCTGGCCAACCGGGGAGGGTCAAGGATGACAGAAGACCGATCCTAAGCCAGTCCCTTAGCCGGCAGTCCATGGCACAGGGGTGTCACGACCACCAGCCTCCCCTCAGGGGATGGACCGGTCAGTCACCTGCTTGAGCCACCAGGGACCTCAGTGGGAACCTGGTCTACCTAGAACAAACAGCAGCCCAGGCCATGCTATGGACACAGCTACCTCTGGGATGTGTTGACCCTCCTCATCCCAGCCACCCCTGCCCCCCAGGACTGCCATCACCTCCTGCTTGAATGCCACAGAACCTGCAGGTAAACCTCACCAATCTGCCTCCTGCCAGTCCTGGGACTGGTTGCCTGACACCCACTGACCACAGCAGTGCTGGCTTCCCAGCTCCTCGATCCCCTGACCAGCTTGTTTCCAAGGGCACTGTGGCCTCTGCTCCAACCACGCAGCCCCCTATGCTGCTTCCCAACCCCAGTGAAAATTGTCTTATTTCCACAGGTAATTATGCACTCATCAGCCCCAGCATCCTGATCAGCCCCTGTGGACAGCCCTCCTGGCATCTATCCTGGCATCTTGCCAGCTCCAGGCCCTGGGCTGAGCCTCCTCACTGCTCTCTATCTGCTCCAGAGGGCAGCAGGCAGCCTGCATGAGGACGGCTTTAAGTCACCAATCCCAGTTAGTCTTTCTTTCAGGCCTCAGGGTTTCAGACCCTAAACAACCCCTCCCCCTAGTCTGAAAGTTAACGGTCTGCCCAGGGATAAACAAGGCCCCCAATTAGGCCAGGTGGGCCGCTAGGCTGGCCTGCACCCCGGCCCCTGCTCCTCCACTGCTCCTGGGGGCTACGCTGCAGCTACAGGGCCCTCCAGTCTCTTGGGGCTGTAGGACCCCACACGGCACCTGCCCACCCTGTGCAGAGGAAAATAGGAAGGTTGAGTAAACCTGCAGGGGAAGTGTGGGCTGAAGGAACCTGAAAATAGAACATCTTGCTTCTTTGGAAGAAGCTGCAAAATAAAATAACTTCTGAACATGAGAAGGGGTGTGTGGAGCACAGCAATGAAGTGCTTGGGCACGGGGGATTCTGTGCAAGCGCCAAGGATGGTGGTAGTGGGCAATCCCCACGGTGGCCAGGGTGGGGCAGAACCGAACTGAGGCGTCTGCTCTGGCAGTAGGTGACCTGGTGGGCGGAGGGCTGGCGTTGGGGGTCGGGCGGACAGGACGGGGCAGCGGGGCACGGCTGGCACTCACCTTGTAGCAGCGGTACTTGTAGAGCACGACCAAGAAGATGGTCATGGCCACAATGACGCTGATCATGATGAGGGTGTTGAGCACAGAGTTGAGGAGGCGCTGGCCCACAGAGGGCGTGTCCTCGGTGAATGGTGTGTAGATGCTGAGGGAGATGGCGGGCTGCAGGCTCTGCTCCCTGCCTGCTCCATAGGGCCTGCCCGTGAGCCACCCAGCCTCAGCCTGATGCCTGAGCCCCGAGTGGAAAAGGAAGGGGCCCCCCCAGGCCTCCCCCTCCCCACCAGACCACCCCGTCCCCACCAGGCTCCCACCCTAGTCCTCCCTCTCCTCTCCCTCATGCTCTCCCCCCTCCCCAAGGACTCCCCCCACTCCTCCCCCAGGTCTCCCATTCCCCATGTGCTCTCCTCCCACACCCAGCCCAGGACTCACCCACTGCTTCCCCTACCCCACCCAGCACAGGCCAGCAGTGGCACCTGCTACAGCCAATACACTTGGGAAGCCAGCCCCTGGCCCTATCCACCTTATCTGCCCGGGACTGCAGAAGCCTGCTGTCTGCTAAGTGCTCACCTCCCCTGAACACTGTAGGCTGTGCCCCTCCCACCTGCTCTGCACCCCAGCCCAGCAGAGGGTGGGGCTTCTCCTCCTGCCCCTTTCTTTGGGAAAATCAAACCAATATGAAAGGAAAGCTCCCTAACTAAAAACAATAAAAATAAGGATGCGTGGGTGGCTCAATGGTTGAGCATCTGCTTTCAGCTCAGGTCATGATCTGGGGTCCTGGGACTGAGTCCTGCTTCTCCCTCTGCCTGTGTCTCTGCCTCTTTCTCTGTGTCTCTCATGAATAAATAAAATCTTAAAAAGTTAAAAAAATATAAAAAGTTCAGAGCAGGTAGTTACAGGCAGCTTGTCTGTGCTGTTGCTCCCCACTCCCTGTATGTGTTCTTCTCACTCAAGTGATCAAAACCTCCCTCACTAGGCTGAAAGCACACTAAGAAATCACCCAGCCCACCACTCAGGTTTCCATCCACGAGAGCAGAGGCCCAGAGAGAAAACCACCTGTCCAGTCACACTGCGTGGCATGGCATGCCCACGCCCATGACCCTGCGCCTGGGATCCCCGCTCGTGCCACAGGGTGAGAGCATGCCCTCTGCCATGAAAGCCAGCATGCCTTAGTGCTGCACCAGGGCAGGCACTGTTTAAGCACTGTGTGTGCATCAACTCATCTAGTTCTCCTGGTATCAGGACTATTATACAAACAAGGAAACTGAGGCAGGGAGCAGCTAGGAAAGAGCCCTTGCAGGTCACGTAGCCGGGAGGCAGTGGACAGAGCAGAGTGTGGAGTCAGGTAGCAACCAGCCCAGCTCTGCACACGCCCCTGGTGTGGAGCTGCAGGTGCAGGGGACCCCTGACTCCCCACGCCACTCCCCAACTTACAGCTGTCCGTTCTTCTCTGTGTAGAAGCGCACGGACTTGATGGTGGCCACCACCACAATCATGCACAGGGTGACTGGCACAAAGAGCATGATCACGTGCTTCGCCCCATACTTGAGGGTCAGCTCCTCCTCCAGGCCCGACGGCTGCCCAGGTACCCCGCCGCAGACGTAGTGGTCAGCATCATCCTCAAAGTCCTCCTCGCTGTCCTGGCTTCTCTGTGGAAAACCGCACGGTGAGGGCCACAGGCTGCGCCCACGGTGGGCTCTGCGACGCCGTGCACGGGTGTCGTGGAAGTGGACATGGGCGGTCTGAGTGGTGCTTTCCAGACGGAAGGACCAGCCTGCGGGCTGGGGTCCAGACGCACGGGTGCCAGGAGGCCAGGGCATCTGAAACGTTTACGAGGACCAGTAGGGAAGGCAGGGAGCCAGCACTAGCCACCTCACATGCAGGAAGGGGCCACAGCAGCCACAGGACAGGGCAGCCTGCAGGCCTAGCACATGCGGCTCATGGGCCTGAAGTGTTTCTAGGGATCGCCCCCCATCTTACTTCAGGGACTCAGACGCTACTCAGTTCTGGCCGAGGAGCCATAAGGATTCAAGAGGAGCCGGCCAGGTGACAAAGGAGGAAAACAGATAGCACCCACCCTAGAATAGTGAGCTCACATGGGGACTGTCCTTGACGGTAAGACGTTCGGAATTTGCGGAGGAGACATTACTTGGAACTCCCCCAACACGCACAAAATTGGGCGTGCAGAACTGGCAGCAGCAAACCAGACCCAGACGGGCTAACTGGAACCAAGCTCCTGAGGGGCAGGGGGTGTCCATCCTCCAGGAAGGTGGGAGGCCAAGACACCCACACGCGCTGGCCCAAACCCATCTGTGAGAATTTCTGCTTCAGAATTGTGCCAATTCAGTCAGTCACTGCCTTGTTAATTAGATTAACCGCCAAAGACAGAGCTAAGCAAAACAAAAATTCAAAAGGACGTTGCTTTGGTTCTTTGCAGGGAGAACTGCAGGCTAGATGCTCAGCTAAGAAATGGCAAAGCATAAAGGAGCGGGAATGTCAACAATTAAAAGGCACAGACGAGCTCCGAGCTCCGGGAGACAAGACAAGTGAGCAGTCAGGAGCGGCTGGCGGTAGCCTTGAGAGGCAGACAATGAGACCAGCTCACTGGGAGCTCGGAGGGTGGAAGGAATGAGCTCTAATTCCAACTATAGGGACTAAGGCCGGCTGGCAGGAAAAGTCCACATGGAAGGTTTTAAATACTGTAATACATAAGATTGAGGTGGGGGTTCAGGCTAATCCAGATACTTCACCCCCCCCCCAGGGCACCCCTGCCTTCATGAGGTTATAACCTGCTGCCCTGTGGGCTACAGAAGTAAGATTAAACCCGTGTCCCCGCAAAATTCACATGTTGGACCCTAACCCCCAATGTGATGGCACTTGGGGTTGGGACCTTTGGGTGGGGCCCTCCTGATGACATGAGAGCTCTTACAAATGGGCCCCAGACACCCACACCCCAATCTGTATAGCAGCAATGTCCACAATAGCCAAACTATGAAGAGCCCAGATGTCCATCAACAAATGGATAAAGAAAATGTGGTATGTACACAATGGAATACCACTAAGCCATCAGAAAGAATGAATCTTGCCATTTGCAATTACATGGATGGAACCAGAGGGTGTTATGCTGAGCGAAATAGAGAAAGACAAACACTGTATGATCTCGCTCTTCGGTGGAATTTAAGAAACAAAACAGAAGCACAGAGGAAAGGACGGAAAAATAAAACAAGACAAAATCAGAGAGGGAGACAAATCATAAGAGACTCTTAATCATAGGAAACAAACTCAGGGTTGCTGGAGGGGACGTGGGTATGCAAATGGGGTAATTGGGTGATGGGCATGAAGGAGAGCATGTGATGTGATGAGCACTAGGTATTATATGCAACTGATGAATCACTGAACTCTATTTCTGAAACTAAAAATAAAATACAATAATAAAATAAAATGGCCCCAGAGAGCTCCCTGGCCTTCCTGCCACAAGGAGACCCAGGGAGAAGCCACTGACACGTGTGAACTCTCACTGGACACTGGATCTGCCAACACTGTGAACTCACACTTCCAACCTCCAGAAGAGGGAAACACATGTGCATTGTGTACAAGCCCCCCCAGTCTATGGTACCCCTGCTTGGTAGCCTGAATGCACCACAGCACGTCACAGCTCAACAGTCACCAATGATGCACATGCTGGTCCTGTGGCTCCCAGTCTGGCCCCTGGCCCTCTGCAGCGCTCCCCCTACCTCCCTGGACCCGTGCAACCCTCCCAGCATCCAGACTCACTCTCATGCTCCCAGAGCTCCCGCGGTACAGCACCTGCACTAGGAAGGGGAGTCTGCGGAGTGGGGGCTGGGACAGAACCATCCAGCCTGGTGGGCTGCAGATATGCAGTCTACTGCAAAGCCCTCACCCACTGGGACTACAACCTGCCCTGGGAGACCCACCCTGGTGACCGGTTCTCTCCCTTAGTCTCCCCTCCCCCTGTGTCAGGGCACATCTGGCTTCCACCCAGGAGGGCCAGGAGCCCAGGGCCTGGATTCAAGGCCCCTGACTGCTGGCAGGAACCTACCCACTGGGCAGCATTTTCTCCATCCTCCAGGCCCTGCCTGGCCTCCTGGCAGCAGCGTGGCGGGGGGCTCTCAGCCGACATCAGGGATGTCCTCTCGTCACACACTTCTTCCTCACTGTCAGAGGCCATGAATGTGAGCATGGCCCTGCCTCGGGAAGCGCCTGGAAGAAGCAGCACAGGGGAGCTTGGTCCATCTTCCTGCAAGGCAAAGGCCACACAGGACCGAGGGGACAGCCAGAGGCGACAAGAAGACCTGGACACAGGTCCCGCCTGAAAACCGCCCAGGATGCATGTGTCAAGCAGCTGCTGGAAAGCAGGACTTCCCATGGGTTGCCTCTGGGGCCGTGGTAGCCTCTGGAGGGAAAGGCCCAGCTAGAAAAGTCACGGCCATTCCAAACTGCCAACACATTCATTCATTCAGTCAACAAACATCTGCTGAGCACCTGCAGTTAACAACAACCATGTGGGGCTCCAGGGTTAGGAGGATGGGCGAGAAATACATTTGTCCTTAAAAAAAAAAAAAAGAAAGAAAGAAAAGAAAAAAAGCCCAACAACCATCCCATGTGACTCATTATATAATCTAAGCATTCACCTAGAGGTACAGAAGCACAAAGAGGGAGATCAAGAATGTTTTCTAGAGAAGATAGCACCCCTGAAGGAGACAGAATTTTCCAGGTGAGGGGAAAGGGCAGAGGGCGTGACAGACACTCCAGTCAGGGCCTGGGGAGGTGTAGGGCCTCCTGCACCACATCCCCTAAGACAGAAGGGAAGGTATGTGGACCCTGAAGACCACTGTGGGAGGGGACAGGCTCTGACCCAGGACAGCAAGGTGGATGCCAGGGAGGGGACCGGACCCAGAGGGGGTTGGGAAGACAGCAGTCAGTGCTGTATGTGGCAGTGAAACACAGGCCAGAACCCAGGATGACAGCCAAGCATGGAGCTGCGGGCAGGAGACAAGCAGCTCAGGGGAAAGACGGAGTCTGGAACCTGCTGAGTGGGAAGGGGTTATATGAGTTAAGATGGCAGAAGGAGTCTGGGATGCAGGGGAGGAGTGAGATCATGCAGGGCGGGGTGTATGTGTGGGAAAACACAGCTGAGGGCAGGCACCCCAGGGAGGCCAGGGCTGGAAGGTCTATAGGCCAACGTGGCAGAAGGGCCTAGAAGAGCTTCAGACAAGCCCTGGCAGACCTGCCTGTCCCTCCAGCTTCCTGGGCAGACCTGTTCTCCCCCCGCCAAACTCCCAGAGGCCCTGGGGGCTGAGCTTTGGGGCTCTGGGGATGGACAAAAGCCTCCATGTCAGTCCTCCCAGGGCGTGTGATCTCCAAGTGACGCAGGCAGGTTCCTTCCACCAGCAGCCAGCTCTGTGTGCCCTGGCAGGGCCTGCGGCAGCTGCTCCATTCAAAGCCAATGACCTGGGCTCTGGCCAGGATCTTTCCAGAATGGACCCCACCTCCATCCGCACATGACAGGCCCGCATCTGCCCACTTCACGGATTAGGACCTGCGACCAAAGGCTCCCAGGCAGGACTCAAAATGTGACAGGCTCCCCTGATGCAGGGCACAGAGCAGAGTAAGATTAAAAGAAATGCCATGGGACTTGGCCCCCGGGCAGAGTTTATGAAACAGAACAATCAAACACACGAAGAAGCAGGCCCTTAAACAGAGACCCACAGGGTGGTTTCCAGAGGGAGGTGGGGTGCGGGGACGGGAAGCAGGGAAGGGGAAGAAGAGACGCTTCTCGTGACACACAATGTCGTACAGGACTGCCAGAGTGCTACGCTGCCCATCTGGACGGATGGGACCCTGTATGTTAATTATACTTCAAAAATGAAAAAGAGGGGCGCCTGGGTGGCTCAGTGGTTGAGCGTCTGCCTTGGGCTCAGGTCGTGATCCCGGGGTCCTGGGATAGAGTCCTAAATAGGGCTGCCCCCGGGGAGCCCTCTTCTCCCTCTGCTTGTGTCTCTGCCTCTCTCTCTGTGTCTCTCATGAATAATAAAATCTTAAGGAAGGAAGGAAGGAAGGAAGGAAGGAAGGAAGGAAGGAAGGAAGGAGGGAGCTGCTCAAGGAGGGTGGGGACCAGGAGCAAAAAGGTTTAGTCCTTCCAATTTCTATTTCTTCAGCGGCTGCCAGCAGCTAACAAGGCAGTCCCCAGGGGGCACGTTTGCCTCCCAGCGGCTCCCTGACGTCTGAAGGAGTCAGAACTAACTTAGGGATGACGGCCTCCTCACAAGAAAACAGAGGCTCCCTGGGCAGATTCCTTCCCTCATCCAGCTCCCTAAAATGCCTCCCAAACCTGCCCTGAAACTGGGCGCAAGGGGGCTATGGCTGCCGGCCACCAGGGCTGTCCTGTCGGCTGTCAGGGCAAGGGGCCTATCCAATCCCTACCCTCTGGTCTGCTGGCTGGGCAGGGACAGGTGAACACCTGACGGGACTGAGGACTCGGGACAGGCTGGGCCCCTTAACATGCCCTTTCTCTAAGGGCCATGCCACCTGGGGCAGGGGAGGGGGGGGACACCTCCAGCTGAGCCCTGAGCATGTACTGAACCCAATGACCGGGGAGCTGGGTACTGCTGTTCTTGCCTATTTTACAGATGAGGTAACAGGTATGAAACATGACAGGTTCAAAGTCACCCCTGAATGCAGGCAGTGAGTGATGGGTCTGTACTTAGCGTTAGGGTAGACCGCTGGGTGAAAGGCCGGATCCCTGGCTCCATTCCAGCCAAAGGTCCAGGGGTCTGCCCCTTGAGATGGCCCCTTGGCTGACGGTCAGGGGGCTAGGCCTGGCCCCCGGCTCAGGACAACAGGGGTCAGGTCATGGTCTACACCCTGTCCCCTGGTGGGGCTCAGCTCCACTCGGAGTGGAAGAACAATCCTTCTCCTGAAACCGAACCGAGCTGCAGGGGGAGAAAGGGATTTCCAGACAGAGACAGTCTCCAAGCAATGCCCACCAGGGACAAGAATGCGGAAAAACTAGGTCTCACACACCTTGGGCACTGCCACCTGGACCGCCCTTTCTGAAGGCAGTAAACAGGGGAGGCTTTAAAAACATTCATACCTTTTGATCTTGAAATGTTACTTCTCAGAATCTGTTCTAAGGAGATAACAAAACATTTTTGTAAAAACATGTTTGTTGCAGTTGTTTGTAATTGTCCAAAAAAGTAAAAATTGCCAAAACGGCCAACTCTGGCCTACGACACGTCCGTCCAATGGGGTATGTTATGGGACCACTTAAAAAACCTCCTTTCAAAGAATAGTTCATAACAGGAAACAACACGACAGGATGTTGAACGTAACAGATGTCAAACTTCACATACTCGACCATCTGAACGGTCTCAGAAAAACGCTCGTGTCTGAAAGACTGGTGAGATAGATGACAAAACACCAAATGTGGTTACCTCTAGACACTAAGGCTGTAGGTCACTATTACTGCACATTTTTCTGCTTTTCTCAAACCTATTATAAACATGGATCGTCTCTATAGTTTTATTTTTTAAGCCATTAATTTATTTTTAAAGCAGGCTCCATGCCCAGTGCGGAGCCCAACACGGGGCTTGAACTCACAAACCTGAGATCATGACCTGAGCTGAGATCAAGAGTCGGATGCTTTATCGACTGAGCCCCCAAGGTGCCCCAAAACATTATTTTTTTAAAAGGAAATATGGAATGTCAACACCGAGACAGACTTCCTTCCCATCCTGCTGCCCCTGCATGTCCTCACTGGATGGGGGCAGGCAGGTGGACGCACAGCCCCTCTTTTTACCTGGCTCCTGGAGAACAGAGCAGCTGGGAGGCACACCTCTCTGCTTCCAAGCCGGAATGGAAGCCTGACGGCAATCTGAAATCCCTGGAGGGAAAATCACCACCTAAATGCCTGCGGATCAACAATCTTACTCGGTATCTGTCGGCCGCTGAGCGCCAGTGACGTCAGGAACGCCCGGTGGGGGGGGGGCTGGGGCGGGGCGGCTCCCCAGGGCGCCGAGGCTGGTCCTACCAACCACGTAGCAACCAGCCCTCGGCTCGGCTGGGAGGGGGCCGAGGGAGCCGGGCGGGCAGGACGGGAGGAGGGGCGGCCTTCCCGGGACTGCAGGCGGCCCGCCGGCCTTAGAATGCAGAACCCACACAGCCGGGGAAGCCACCACTTCCTCCCATTAATCAGCTGAATGGGATCGAAATGCTGAATTGGCCAAACCAGGCGAGTCTGACCCAGAGAATTCCCCCAGTGTGCCTGTGTCAGCAGCTCCTGCGATTAAGGAAACCCCGCCGTCACCCAGTTTCCTTGACCTCCTCTTGCTTTCAGAGCCAGACTGTAAAACGCCATAGTAACCGTGAGCGCCGGCGTTTTGCTGGAAAAAGATGGAAATCGCCACTCCAAAAGCAAAGTGGGAGTTACCACATTTACCAGGAACAGTGGGGCGATGAGAAAGGTCAGGGTTCTGTCAACGTACCTTCTTTCTTGGTTGCAGCAGGCCTAACTGAACGGGGGACCCTCACTTTCAAAGGGGGTGGCCCCTCCCTAGAGTCACCTGGACCTAGCAGCCTGCCCACAGCCCCCACGAGGTTCTCTCCAAGCCGGGGAGGTGTTTGTGACGGTGACAAAACTCCCTTAAGGAACGCCCACAGCCTCCCTGCCTGCTTGTCTCCCCAGGCCCAGGGCAGCTGATCCTGTATTTGGCCTTGGCTGGCCTTCCTCCATCTGTCCACCTGAGCCCAACTGGGGATGTGCATCACTCCCCAACAGGGAGGCAGCCTCACCGGCCAGAATGCCTCCAGGTGGAAGGGATGGAGGGCCCTTCTGCCCTCCCAAATCAGACGCCCCAGGGGATCCTGATGGGCCTCCTAAATTTTGATCCAGGCTCTAGATGGCCCTCAGTACTGTCCAAACCCAGCAATCTCCCTCGTTTTCTCAAGGAGCCAGGAAAGGTGGCAGTTTGGGGAAAGCTGCAGAGGCCAGGGCCCTAACGCACCACCTGTGGATAGGGCACAGGGAAAAAAAAGATTCTTTTAAGCGACCAAGGAGCCATGGGATGTGATGCACACACTCCCTGGCCCAAGACCAGTGAGTTAACCTCCCGTGGCCATCTCCTCTCCTGGAAAAAGCAGAAGGAGCACACCTTGCAAGAGTCCTGTGGAAACTGGAGAGATTGTGCAAGGTGTCTGTGCAGAGCAGGTGTTCAGAAAACAGTAGTGACCATGAAGATGGAACAGATGTAGGTGTATGGCAGGAGGGGCAGGAAAGCTGCTGATGCCCCCTCGGAAGGTTATGGGATGTGCTAACCACCCCCTTCCGGACACAAGAGTTGAGAGACCAAGGTCACCCCTCACCTGGGCCCTGGGGAGACACCGTTCCCACCTAGCCCCAGCCCGAACACGCGGGCACCACGAACACCGTGTCACAGGACGCGTGCCAGAGCTGGCACAGACCTGAAAGGCCATCTGGTCAGTGCCCTATTTTGTAGTCAAGGGAACTGAAGCCCACAGGGACCAGAGCCACAGCTCTGATTCAGGTCTGCGGACCGCCCACTCCAAGCACACATGAGGCTGGCACACTCGGGGATTGGCCCAGGGCCACAGTCACACAGGCGGCCAGCACAGCACCCCACGTGGGCTTTCTGGGGGCGTGCCCATACCTACAAGGCATAAGTCTTTGCCTGTGTCTTTAACATACAGCTTCTCCAAACACAGGCAAGGGGTCGCCAAATTACAAAGGTCTCCTAGTTGTGGCCTCACCCAGGCTGTCTCCTGCCCGAACCCCTCAACCCTAGCCTGGGGGCCCACCCCACCCTCTGTAGGCAACAGGGCTCCACATGGCACAGAGGGGGCCAGAGTCAGGGCACTGCTTCCAGATAAGTGATGGCACACTCATGTGCTCTATACACAAGAATGCCCGTGAAGGGAACATTCTGAAGACCTACCATTTGCATAAAAAACAGAATAGAAAACTTCATCTCCACCGGGATGCCCAGGTGGCTCAGTGGTTAAACTAGTCTGCCTTCAGCTCAGGGCATGATCCAGGGTCCTGGGATTGAGTCCCACATCGGGCTCCCAGGAGGGAGCCTGCTTCTCCCTCTGCCTATGTCTCTGCCTCTGTGTCTCTCATGAATGAATGAATGAATGAATAAATAAATAAATAAAAGCATCTTTTTCTTCCCATGCTCCGGAAGACGACCATACTGTGGCAAAGACAAACTTGCAACCCATCCTCCCAGGCAACAAAAACACTGGACAAAACACATCTCCTCCCTGACATCCTGGCATCTGTCTTTCCTGAGAACTGACTGGAAAGAAGACTTTCCCCAGACTTTACCATGGCAGCCTTGCCACCTCCAGGCCCGGAGGCCAATGTTGATCACACGAGGCTTGAAGCCCACGTCCAGCCAAGCTCCCTCCCAGGCCCTGGCTGGGGGCAGCCTGCACCAGGCTCGGAGCCCTGACTTTCCCTCCACCAACCCTCCCTCAGCTGCTGGAGTCGGGAAACAGGTGGGAACACTTGCAGAAACACTGGTTGTCCTGCCAGTCCTCAACTAAACAGTGTCCGAACCTCAAAGCAACAGCTGAGAAACAGCCAAAAATATCTTTGGCAAAAACATGCATGTGACCTACACACACACTGCTTTGATCTGTTGAAAAAAAAAATTATTTGGGGGACGCCTGGGTGGCTTAGTTGGTTGAGTATCTGACTTCAGCTCAGGTTGTGACCTTGGGGTCCTGGGATCTTCGAGCCCTGTGTGTATCAGGCTTCCTGCTTAGTTGGGATTCCGCTTCTCCCTCTCCCTCTGCCCCTCCCCCTGCTCATGCTGGGGCTCTCTCTCTCTCTCTCTAATAAATAAATAAATAAATAAAATCTTTAAAAAAATAATTTTTATTTTTATTTTGCTTTGTCAAGTAGTTACTAATGGAAAGCACAAAGAAATGTCCTGGGCAGAAGAGCAGGGACACGGTAGGGGATGAATGTGCGAAACTTCCCTATGCAAAAATTCAAAAGATTAAGACCCAGCCAGCTGCGTTCAAATCCTGGTGCTCTGGTCACCCAACAGGACAAGTGGCTCAACTCCCTGAACTTCAATTTCTTGATCTGTAGCAGATAAAAAATAGTAGCTACTTGAGTGTGACTGTAGCTGTAAAGAGACGTAAGTACTGTACCAAGTGGCTTTTTATTGCATATGACACACTTCGTGCTCATCATCAATAACTCAGAGGCTTGGGGCACCTGGCTGTTCTCAGTCGGAAGAGTGTGTGACTCTTGATCTCGGGGTCGGGAGTTCAAGCATAGTGACACTGGGCATAGAGAATCTTTAAATAAATAAAACCTTAAAAAATAAAAGTAAAAAAATAACTCAGAGGCCAAGGTAAGAGGAGTCTCTCCTTTGGCAAACCCTGTGTGCGCCGCGAGACTGGAGCAGCCATTGAGGTGTTGAGGGGACGGGTGACAGGCATGGCAACACACAGCAGGCCTCCAGACACATGAGAGCGGCAGCCTCCAGCCAGGCTCTTCCTCAAACATAGGAACAGAGCATTCATCTCGTTCATCCCCTGTACATACACCAAGTAAGACTCCAGACTTGGTGCACAGCTACTTCAACACCCAACCAAATGGAATGTTCCCTGAAAACCTGAAACCTCTATCCCACTCTGCAGCAATGCTCCTGCAAGCCCCCTACTTCCAGCCCCTGACCTAAAGGCCCCCTCACGCACCCCAGGGATGAATCTGGACTGCCAGCCTGCCTGTCTGCTCGACCGATGGCAGAGGCTGCAGCTCTGAGCTGCAGCCAGAAACCCCCTTCACCAGCTAGGCCCAGAAAACACAGCTGCTGACACACCTCCGGGCTCCCACATAGCCACCTGCACGCAGAGGCACCTAAGGCTCCCACACCTGAAACAGCTTATCCAGAGCCTTTAATTAGGGCTGAAGGTCTTGGCGGAAAGCACTGGAGGCTCAGGTGTCCACAGAATGGACCTCAAGGGCGTCCATAGCAGAGGCCAGGGTCTGTCCTGATCAAGTTCCTGTCAGGACAGAACCTGAGAGCCCAGGCTGAGGATTCTAAGTCAAGCTGCCTCTGCAACGTTCTGGAGGGGATGCCTCTGTAAATGGGGATGCAGTTAGTCCCCTAACCAACAGTTCATTTCTTTAAAAGGGGAGATCATTAACTCAGCAGTCAGGAGCGTGTCATCCAAGCGCCAAAGGGCTGAGGTCTGGTGCCAGGGCTGGACAGCGCGCAGCCAGGCCGGACCACGAGCGGGCTCGGAGCCTGGCTCCGCTAGGTCCCACCTGGGTGGCCTTGGACAGCCTCGCTAGCGCGGTGGCCTGAGTCTCTTTATCGATAAAATGCGTGGGGGTGGAGGGGGGGCAGCCTCTGTCTCAGGTTCCTTCGGCTTCAAAAGCTGCATCTGTAAATGCCTGATAAAACGGCCAAGCGCCGCTGATCACGAGATCGCCGGCTCCAGGCCGGGCCTGCGGCCGGTTCCGCACCCCGGCGGGAAGCCCCTGGCCGCACCCCGCCCGGCAGGGCCCCCGGCCCCGGCGCCCCGGCGCGCCCCCGCCGCCCAGACCCACGTGCGCTGCTCCTTTAAACGCCCGGCCCTCCGGCGGGGTCCGGCCGCGGGGAGGCGGACCCAGCCCGGCGCAGGCCCAGGCCCGGGGGCCGCGGCCGGCGCTCCTCTGAGCCCCCCAGGCCCGGGCCGGCGCCCTGCGCGCTCCCCGCCCCGCCCCCCGCCCCCACGCCGGCCGCAGAGGCCGTACCCGCGCGCGCAGGCACCGCCGCACCGCAGCCCCGCGCCGGGGAAGGGGCCGCGACCCGCCGCGGCGAGGGGCGCGCGGGGAGCCGAGCCCCACCCCGCGCCGTCCGCGCGCTGCAGACCCGGCCCGGCCCGGCCCGCGCGCCCCGGCCCCGCCCGCTCACCTGCTCGGCCGCGGCGCCCCGGCGGTGTTTACGCGGCTGGCAGAGCGCCCGTCCGGCCCGGGCCCCGGCGCCGGCGCAGACCCCGCCCCGGGCCCGCCCCGGCCCCGCCCCGGCCCCGCCCCCGGCCCCGCCCCCGGCCCCGCCCCGCCCGGAGCCGCGCGCTCTCGCGGGCGGGGGGAGGTTGGTGGCTCGCGGCGGCCTGACCTGCGGGTGCGGCGCGGCGGGGACGCCGGGGTGCACCTGACGTCTGACCCGGCACCGACACTCGGAGGAGCGGAGGCCAGGCCTGCGATCTCACGGGGCCCCGCAGCTCCCTGGAGCAGTAGCGCATTTGCCTGGAAGACATCGCTTTCCTTGGAGGGCTTGGTCCCCCGACTCCCACCTTCCGCCCTTCTGACCCCCCCCCCCCCGAGGCTTCGCTCACGTTAACGGAGCGCTCGTGGCCTGCTGTGAGCTAACATCAGGAGAATTTTCCTGATCTGTTTTCTAGAGCCTCAGAGCCACCAGGAAGGAGCTCTAGATAAAACTGTACAGGGATGACGTTGCGACCGACGACCTGTGAATTGGCCGAAGGAGCCGTGACTCCTGGATTTGCGGGTCTGCGGGCAGAGCTGAGATGGTCGGCCATCTGACATTTCTGAGTGGCTTCCCATTTCTTAAAGTTAAGGTAAAATTCACATAACATTAAATTAACTTTTTTATTATTTTAAAAGATTTATTTATTTATGATAGAGAGAGGGAGAGAGAGGCAGAGACACAGGAGGAGGGAGAAGCAGGCTCCATGCAGGGAGCCCGACGTGGGACTCGATCCTGGGACTGCAGGATCGCTCCCTGGGCCAAAGGCAGGCGCCAAACCGCTGAGCCACCCAGGGATCCCAAATTAATCTTTTTAAAGTGTACAGTGGCATTTAGTACATTCACAGTACTGTGCGATCCCAACCACCTGTATGTATGTACCTAGTTCCCAGACCTTTAGACCACTCTGAAAACCTCCTACATGTTATATAGTTTCTTCTTATCCCCTTCTCCCCCAGCCCCTGGCAATCACCCATCGACTTCTATCTCCATGGATTTCCCTATTCTGACATTTCATATAGATAGAATCATACAATATTTGACCTTTGCGGTCTGGCATCTTTGATTTGGATAATGTCTTTGAGGTTCATCCTTCCTGTGGTGTTTTTAGCCTTCATTCCTTTCCATGGCTAAATAATATTCTGTTGTAGGAATGTCCTACTATTTGTTGATTCATTCACTCACTGATCGACCTCTGGACTGTTTCCAACTTTTGCTTATTGTCCATCCTGCTACTATAAACACATGTGTACATGTATTTGTTTGAGTGTCTTTTTCAATTATTTGGGGTACATGCCAGGAGTTAAATTTCTGGGTCATATGGAAATTCTATGTTTAGCTTTTTGAGGAACCACCAAGCTGTTTCCCACAGAGGATGAACCATTTTACATCCCTCAAGCAATCAATAGAAAGTTCCCATTTCTCCACACTGTCCAACACTTGTTATTTGGAAAACTATTATTATTATTGATTTCCCAGTGGGTATGAAGGGACACCTCATGCTGGTTTTGGTTTGCATTTCCCTATTAATCAGTGATGTTGAGCATCTTCATGTGCTCATTGGCCATTTGTGTGTGTTCTTTGGAGAGATATCTATTCAAGTCTTTTGCCTATTTTTTTCCTTCACCCATTTAAAAAATTTAGTTAGCTTCTGTATTGTCGAGTGGTATGAGCTCTTTACCTATCTGGATACCAGACGCCTGTCAGATACACAGTTTGCAAATATTTTCTCCCACACCGTGGGTTATCTTTTCACTTTCTGATAATGTCCTTTAAAACACACATGGCTTTAGTGTCTATTAATTCCAACTGATCTATTTTCCCTTCATTGCTTATGCATTCAGTGTCATATCTAAGAATCTATCATCAAATCCAAAATCATGAGCATTTACCTCTGTGTTTTCTTCTAAGAGTTTTATAAGAGCACTTCTATTTAGGTGGTTGATCCATTTTGAATTGATTCTTATATATGGTATAAGGCCTGGGTCCAGCTTAATTCTTTTGCATGTGGATATCCAGTTGTCCCAGTACCGTTTGTTAAAGAGACTGTCTTTTCCCCCAATAAATGGCCGTGGCCCACTTGTCAAAAATCAATTAGCCATAGACAAATGGAAAAAATCAAATATTATTTAAAAGCTGCTTAAATGCAGGGCACCTGGGTGGCTCAGTTAATTAAGTGTCTGACTCTTGACTTTGGCTCAGGTCATGATCTCATGGTTGTGTGAGGTTGAGCTACATGCTCAGTGGGGAGTCTGCTCAAGATTATTTCCCTCTGCCCCTCCCCTCCATGCTCTCTCTCTAAAATAAATAAATCTTTAAAAAAATAACAAGATAAAATAAAAAAATAAAAGCTGCTTAAATGCAAATTAACCCAACCCAACCTGGAAATGGGACAGGCCAACATTTTGACAGATAAAATAATATGCAAATAATGATCTTTGATAAATTAGGGAAATGAATTACAATGAACAGAATCACAAAATAATAAGTTCTTTCTTAAAGATTTATTTATTTATGCATGCATGCACACACATGCACAAGTGAGAGGAGGGCCAGAAGGAGAGAGAATCTCAAGCAGACTCTCCCCACTGAGCACAGAGCCTGATATGGGGCTCAATCTCATAACCCTGAGATCATGACCTGAGCTGAAATCACAAGTCCAATACTTAACCAACTGAGCCACCCAGGTGCCCCTACAATAATAAGTTCTTAAAAGGGAAGGGACACTCTAACTCTAATATGTAAGCACCCTCTGCAGAATCCCTAAGGAAGGTCTGCTCAGCCAGATCTGTTGTTTTGGGAGCTTTTGCTGTTGTACATTAGTGAAGGGTTGAATTTCAGCCCTAATGGAACATAAAGACGCATAAAATGAATTAGGAAGATTTTCTTTTCTATTTTTTGGTATAGTTTGAGAAGGATTCATGTTAATTCTTCTTTCTTTTAAGATTTATTTGAGAGAGAGAGAGAAAGAACAAGCAAGTGCAGAGGAAGACATAAGGAGAGGAGAGAGAATCCTCAGATTCTCACTGAGCTTGGAGCCCAACACAGGGCTCGATCTCATGACCTCGAGATCAAGACCTGAGCTGAAATGAAGAGTCGGCCACTTAAGTAACTGAGCAACCCAGGCACCCCAGTGTTAATTCTTCTTTAAGGATGTTGTAGAATTCACCTGAGAAGCCATCTTATCCTGCCTTTGGGGGGAGTTTGATCACTAATTCAATCTTGTTTTTTTTTTTTATAAGTATGTTCCAATATCCTCTTCCCTCTTGAGTCAGTTTTGATAATTTGTGTGTTTCTAGGAGTTTGTCCATTTCATCTGTCCAATTTGTTGGTGTACAATTGTTCATAGTATTCTCTTCTCCCCACTGCAAGCATTATATAGCAATGTTGTTGGAACTTGCCCATGCCTTAGACAAGCAACTCCTTTCCTTGGAGAAAATTCCAGACTCCAAGCCAGATCTCTCACTCCAGCTAATTTTCTTTGATGGGGAAGAGGCTCTTCTTCATTGGTCTCTTCATGATTCTCTGTATGGATCTCGGCACTTAGATCCCAAGATGGCATCAACCCCACACCCACCTGGAGCGAAAGATACCAACCAACTGCACAGCATGGATTTATTGGTCTTGTTGGATTTAATTGGAGCACCCAACCCAACATTTCCCAATTTTTTTCCAAAATCTGCCAGATGGTTTAATAGACTTGAAGCGATTGAACAAGAACTCCACAAATTAGGTTTACTCAAGGATCACTCTTTGGAGAGGTGCTATTTCCAGAATCATAGTTATGGAGGGGTGATTCAGGATGACCATATTCCATTTTTAAGAAGAGGTGTTCCAGTTTTATATCTGATCCCATCTCCTTTTCCTGAAGTCTTTCACACCATGGATGACAATGAAGAAAATTTGGACGAAACAACCATTGACAATCTAAACAAAATCCTACAAGCCTTTATGTTAGAGTATCTTCATTTGTAATATTCTGTCTTAGTTTGTGGCAATTGTATCTAGTTTCACATTCAGAAGTCAAGGCACAACTTAAACTCACTCCAGACAAATGCCATGTGAAACCTGTATCTTATAGATTCATTCTGTGTCTTTGAATATATGATCAATAAATCCTAGATTTACATCAAAAAAAAAGATTTACATTCAAAAAAAAGGTGAATGCCCTCACCTTTATTCCTGATTTTATTTGCATCTTCTCCTTTTTTTTTCTTTTTACCTAAAGATTCATCAATGTTGTTGAGCTTTTCAAATTTTTCATTTTAATTGTTGTACGTTTAAGCTCCAGAATTATTCCATTTGCTTCCTTTTAATAATTTCTATATCTCTTGATACCCTCTGTTTATAGTTTGATTGTTCTCTGGCTTCCTTTAGTTCTCTGTCCAAAGTTTCTTTCAGCTATTTGAACATATTTTTTAAAGATTTTATTTATTTATTTGAGAGAGGGAGTGAGCAAGAGAGAGAACACATGAGCAGGGATAGGGGGAGAGGGAGAAGCAGGCTCCCTGCTGAGCAGGAAGCCCAACATGGGGCTTGATCCCACAACCCTGGGATCATGACCTGAGCTGAAGGCAGACGCTTAACCAACTGAACCATCTAGGCACCCCACTATTTGAACATATTTAAGATCGTTCCTTTAAAGTCTTGGTTTGGGATGCCTGGGTGGCTCAGCAGTTAAGCATCTGCCTTTGGCTCAGGGCGTGATCCTGGAGTCCCAGGATCAAGTTCCACATCAGGCTTCCTGCATGGAGCCTGTTCTCTCTCTGCCTGTGTCTCTGCCTCTGCCTCTGTGTGTGTGTGTGTGTGTGTGTGTGTGTGTCATGAATAAATAAATAAAATCTTAAAAAATAAATAAATAAGTCTTGGTCTTAGGAAGTCCAATATCTGAGCTTCCTCAGGGATGGTTTCTGTCCATTTTTCCCCCTGAGTTATGCATTTCTTTTTCTTTGCTTTGTAACTTTTTGTTGAAAATTGCACATTTTGAATATTATAACTCTGGAAATTAGATTCTGTTCCCCCTTTGGAAGGTTTGCTGTTATTTCTTGTTAAGGGTTACAGTCATCCATTTATTTAGTGATGTTTCCAAACTGTTTTTTTTGCAGACTGTATTCCTTATCATGTGTAGTCACTGAAGTCTCTGTTCTGTTATCTGTCAGCCACCGACCAAACACAGATTTCTTTAAACACCTGGAGGCAAGAAGAAACAAAACAAAAAGCAAACAACCAGACCAAAACAAAACCCCAAACTAAAAGGAAACACTCTTGATCTTTTAAGATTGTCTCTGACCTGGGCATCTCTGCTCCACCTTTCTAGGACACCTGCCACTCTGCTTTAGCTTTTACTTTCTGCTTGCATGAAGCCCAGAGATTAGCCAAAGGTGTATACCTTGGGTGTCTCAGGTCTTTTCTCAGCATTTTTCTGGCCCTGGGCACAGTCTATGCCTCGACTACCTGGTATATGAAGTAGCCCTTCAAAACCCTTCCTCCTCAGTCTCCTTTTCCCAGGTCTTTCTGGTTTGTCAGCTTCTTACCCTATCTTCCTTCCCTTGCCCCAGACAGCTATGTGTAGTACATGTCTTTAAATGCTTTCAACAGATACTACCTGGGAATGGCTCCATCCAGAGGATGAAGCAAAGTTCAGCAGTCCCTCAGAAAACTGCCAGCCAGGTCAATGTGCACGACCACATGTTTGAGAACAAGGTCCATATCTGAATCCCACTAGGGATTCAGGCTGTTTTTCCCAGGGCTGTTGCTGGGCTGGGGAACAGGAGATGGTAAGCAGGTAAGCAAAAATGCTGCAACAGTTTTTTACTAAATTAAGCTGCTTTTTCCCTCATTATACGTGCTCCTGCTTGCTCTAGGTTTGTTATTAGATTCCAGAGTTCTAAAAAAAAAAAAAAAAAAAGCTGATTCTATCAGTGTTTGCCAGCTTAATGGTTGCTTAAATGGAGGGACTGAGGCTTGGAGCTTCTTATCTGCCATTTTCCATGACATCTTCCTGAGTAGCCTCATTTTCAGCACTGATCACTATTGACTGAAATTTTGTCCTTGATACTACGCTTTTCTTATTTCCTTCCCGTCTTGTGAACTTCACCTCCACTGCCTATCCTTGCTTCCAGGCCTTGGGGCTGGAGGGGCTGTCCTCACTGTATACTCTTTTCTTGGGGAACCCAAGTACTCCTAGAGCTACCACATCTGTGTTGATGAAGCCTGGCAATGAGTCTCCAATTTAGTCCTTAGAGCCCCAGACATGTGGACAACTGCTCTCAGACTGTTCCACTTAGAAATACCACAGGCCATTCTAGTAAAGCCATGTAAGTAAATTCTGTCTAAAAGGATGGAACAAGAAGAGGCATGTCCTGGGGCACCTAGGTGGCTCAGCAGATGAGTGTCTGTCTTTGGCTCAGTTCGTGATCCTGGGGTCCTGGGACTGAGTCCTACATTAGGCTCCCTCTGCCTATGTCTTGCCTCTCTCTGTGTGTCTCTCATGAATGAATAAATAAAATTTTAAAAAAAGAAGAAGAAGAAGGAGCATCTCCTTACTCTCATTCTTCCTATTTAGAGCACAGAGGTAATAGCCAGAGCTCAAGCTGCCATCTTGGAGTGTGATGATCGTGAGGATCGTGAAGCACAAAATGGAAGGAACTCTGACAATTGTGGAGGTACTAGCTTAGAATTGCTTACATCCTTAGTCTCAGGATGGAAAAACAACCTTTATCTGTTTAGGTAATTGTTATTTTGTGATTCCTTCACATGCAGCTAAACAAAGCTTACTTAATACACCAAGCCATCCCAGCCCTCTTCCCCTTACATCATCGGCTCCACCAGCTACCCTAAACTCCCCATGCAAGTTATTACAAGGACTTACTCACTTGCCTGCCTCACTGCCTTGGAACATCTCCAGAGCAAAGATTGTCCATTTCTCAGATTCTTGCCATACAATCAGCTTCTTTAAGGCAAGAAAGGGTGGGATCAGGAATGGACATTGGTTGGGTCCCAATTCTATGTGCTTTACATTTTATTTGTTAATTGTTGGAGCAGCTCTGTGAGGGGCAGCACATTGTTCTTGCTCTTCTACATATGAGGAAACAGAGGTTCACAGAAACAAGGAGGCTTCTCAAATGTGCATAGATGATGAGCGGAAGTGCTAAGTATGCAACTCAAGTCCGCCTGGCCTGACACCACACATCTCTCTCCCCCACTAGAAACTTCCATGGCAGGGCCCCAAGCAGTGCTAAGTCAAGAGATCCTTGATGAGTTAATTCCCTTCATGGTTCTCCTTTGAGGTCATCACCATCAGCTGTTTTTCACATGCTGGTTTGTGAGGGATAGGGAAGTGTCTTTTTCAACCTGCTCTCAGTTTGAGATGGGATGGCTTCTGTCGCAGGTTTTTTTGGTATTCTGGGGGGTTATGTTTTCTTTTTTAATCTTTTTTTTAAGATTTATTTATTTATTTTAGAGGGAAAGAGAGAGAGAGAGAAAGCACAAGTGGGAGGGACAGAGGGAGCAGAAGAGAGAACCTTTAGCAGACTCTGCACTGAGTGCAGAGCCCAATGTGGGGCTCGATCCCACAGTCCTGAGATCATGACCTGAGCTGAAACCAAGAGCCAGACATTTAACTGTGCCATCAGCCCCCCCATCCCGATTGTGTGTGTGTGTGTGTGTGTGTGTGTGTGTGTGTTTAACACTGGGAGACAGTGGGGGGTAGTGGAGACCACATGAACTTGAGAACCAGGTGCACCTGGGCTTGAAATCCATCTCTTCTGGGGCACCTGGGTGGCTCAGTCGCTAAGCATCTGCCTTCGGCTCAGGGTGTAATCCTGGGGTCCTGCCATCAAGTCCTATATTGGGCTCCCTGCAGGGAGCCTGTTTCTCCCTCTGCCTATATGTTTGCCTCTGTGTCTTTCATGAATAAATAAAATCTTAAAACAAAACAAAACAAAACAAAAGAAATCCATCTCTTCCACTTATTACTGCATGGCCCAGGATAGGTACTTAGTCTTGCTGGGCATCCATTCTTCATCTGGGAAGGGTATAATGATATCTGCTGAAGACGGTGGGAGGATTAAAAGGGAAATAGGATAACAGTGGCCAGAGAACAACTGGCCTGCAGCAAATATAAGCCATCCTCCTGCCTCTACCTCCTTCCTCTATTTGAGGTGGGAGCTTGATTTTGTTTAACATTGAAATGACAGACTTTTACTGTTCACAAATATTCTACACCACCCACTTCTGGGGTGCCATACTTCTCTGTCCTGTTGAGCAGGACTGACAGTGTGACTTTGACCAATGTTTTTTTTTTTTTTTTTTTTTTTTTTTTTTTTTTGACTTTGACCAATGTTAACAGAAGTGCTGTGTGGCAGCTCTGGACAGAAGCTCTAACATCCTGGGCATGTTTCGCCTGCTCTCTTATCCTTCCGACAGATCAGCTGTGTTCCAGACAGAAGCAGCTCCACTAGACTGGATCCACAGCTAGCATAACGAGGGCCATGTCCTTTGTGCAGGAAACACATCTGGTTGTTGTAAGCCACTGAGACCCAGAGCCATTTGTCACTGCAGAGTAGCTTAGGCTGATCTGATCTATACCTTTGACATTTGGCATCCTATAGTTCCATGCAATATTATTCCTTGTAAACTTTTCTGGAAGGTTCATTTAATGAACTTATGGTTTTCATGGTGGGTACTTAAAAATAAGCAGTTATTTCTTGTTATAAAACAAGAAGTTTCCTTGTTATGAAAACTGTATACGTTGTAGAAGACACTTTGCCCATCTTATGTCTTTTTCTGTTATTTCGTCTACAGTTTTCTTCATCGAGAGTTTGGTAGAATTTTTTAAAAAGATTTTTATTTATTAATTTGAGAGAGAGAGAACCAGCAGAGGGGAGAGGCAGAGGGAGAGGGAGAAGCAGACTCCCCATGGATCAGGGAGCCCCATGTGGGGCTTGATCCCAGGACCCTGGGATCATGACCTGAGCTGAAGGCAGACACTCAACTGACTGAGCCATCCAGGTACCCCTGGTAGTTTTTGAAGCTGGAAGCCTTGTTGGCCCCAGGTCCATTCTTCCCATGTGCCCTCTGGCTCACAGTAATATATGAGGTCTC